ACCAGGTTCACTTTTTTTGCATGTGGTCATCCAATTGCTCCAGCACCTTCTGTTGAAAAGACTGCTTTCTCCTTTGAATTGCCTTTGCTCTTAGGTCAAAACTCAGCTGATTGGATAGTATGTGTCTATTTCTAGGCTTTCCATTCTGTTCCATTGATCGATGCGTCTATTCTCTCACGAGAGCCGTGTTCTTTTCTTCATTTCTAGAGCATATGTGTAGTCTTGAAATCGGCTAGTGTGAGTCATCTATCTTGATCTTTTTTCAGAATTGTTTTGACTACTCTGTTCCTTTGTCTTTCTGTTTATATTGTATATACAACTTATAAATTAAAAAAAAACCTTGTGGTTTTGATTAGAATTGCATTGAATCTATAGGTTATATTGAGGAGGATTTATATAACAGCAATACTGTATCCTCAGTCCATAATCACAGTATGTCTCTCCACTTATTTAGGTCCCTTGATTTCTTCCATTAATGATTTTTTTAGCTTTCAGCATATAGATTCAGTATGAATTTTGTTCACTTTATTCCCAGTGATTTCATATTTTACAGTGATATTGTAAATGGTATTTTTAAAATTTAAAATTCCAATTTTGCTAGTAATTAAGAATATGATTGACTTTTGTATCTTGATCTTGTTTCCTGACACCATTCTTTAAAAATGCTTATTAGTTCCAGAAGATGTTACGTGTACTCTTTTGGTTTTCCTACACACATAATTATATGTTTGAATATTGCAATTGTGTGGGTAATTTATATGTCTTTCAAATAATTTAGATTTGGGAAAGAGACCATTTTTTTAAGAGAAAGATACATACAAAATTATGATCATCATAAAACTGTAGCCTAACTAATATTTTTTAAAGTATCTAAAGAAAAATTTAATAGATACAGTATTTAGAAAAAATAAGCCAAGAGATCAAAGTGTTGACATTTGTAGGTTAGTGATTAAACAATCAGCACATTTCAGGGAAGGTGGACACTGAATCTTCAGGACAATGAATAAGATTTCTGGTGGAGACAAGAATGATTCGTCATATCTGAACTTGGCCTGGATGAAATTGCCTCCATTTGTCTGATTTCATTTCCTCCAAGGTCCTATTGATTATCCTTTGGTTTCAGGTTCTCAAGTCAGAGTGCTTTGGTTCTGTCCAGCCCTGGCATTCAATTGTTAGGTTCAGGCTTTTTAGTATCTTTGAATTCCAGTTTCCTCATTTGTAAAATGAAGTTAAGAACAGTACTTACCTCATAGGACTAATGTGAGAATTAAATAAGATAATGGAGTTCAGTATGCTAACGTGGACATCTCATAAGTAAAATGGATATGGCAGATGTCTGAGTTTCCACTGTTCTAACACCCCAACCCTAGCACCCTAAATTGGCACCCCTCTCGTGAAGATGGCCAGGTGAGAGACCCCAGCAGCCAGAGGCAGTGGAGTGTATGAAAGTCTAATTGAGCTGAGGGGGCTGGAGATAAGAGTGTGTCTTTCGCATGGGGGAGTTGAGCACCTGCAATTTGGCTCTTCTCCTGGGGCTTCCAAGATGACTCGGAGAGAAGCAACTGGGCACCCACCTGTGCCCAGGGCATCATTAACCAAGACTGGACCGAAAGAGCTAATAAGATTACCCCTTCTGTAATATACAGCTATCACAGTCAGGGAGACTTTTGCTAGAAAGTCTTATGTCTCTTCTCCTTTCCCAGCCCTGGGGATTCTGGAAGGAGAAGAGGTGTTGTGGGGCAAGAGGACTGCAAATGTCCTCCACACCGGCGCCTCCTTTCCACTTGCTACCTTGCAGGCACTGGCAGTCGGAAGGTGAGCACTGAATCATCCATGGGAGACAATCAACTGGATTTTAATATCTGAAAATGCGTGCATAGCTATATATTCTGCCCAAGATGTCTTAAGAGACCAAAAAGGAAAAGTAAACAGAACAATTTTTGAAGGAAAAAATAAAACACTCATATTTGTACTCTACAGAAAACAGACTGTGCAATTAACAGGTTTTTTGTAGCTGGGAACAACTTTTTCCTAATTGGGAGCTCTTTTTTTTTTTTTAAACTTACTTTTTCCTGTCAAGAAAAATGTTTTATTTTTCCTTTTATTATTTTAATGAAGTGTTGAAAGAATGTGTGTGAGATATGAAACATAATAAAAGTAACAACACAAACCAAGCTATAATTTAAGAACTACAGGTTACAAATACCTACTAAGCACTCTCCCCTGTTACCTGTACCTATTTCCACTCTAGAAGTAATCACAGTCTTCAGCTTGTGTTTGTGTTTCATTGTGTAGCAGACATTGTCGGTGCCCCACCTACATCGCCTTGGCACTCGCCATTAAAGCAGATGGAGTCTCACTGCACGTGTCTGCAGCTCTGCCAAGGGGATTTCTCTAGGGTGGATAAGGCACGCTAGAAGTTCCAGAGAACCTGCTTTTTCTTTTTTATTACTGTTTAACACACACACACACACACACACCTCTAAGCAATATTGTTTATTTTTGTGGTATCACAAATGTGATGTCATACATTGTGTAGTTTTCTGGGACTTGCCTTTTTCATTCAACGTCTTGTTTCCAAAATTCATCTGTTCTGTGTACACCTGTAGTTTTGCGTATTGTGTCTTATGACTACAACTCGCATCAACGTAGTATTTTTAATTCATTGTTCCACTGACGGACATTTGGGTTGTTTACGTATTCTTTCTATTGTGAATAGTCCAAGACTCTCGGGGCACCTGTGCAAAAATTGTTGTACCATAGTGCATGAGAATGTGCGCTCCAAATTGCATTCCAAAGTGGTCGTAGCAACTTACACTCTCTCTGGTGTAAGAATTCCCGCTGAACAAGATTCTCCACATTTGATCTTGGCGGATTTCTTCATTGACTTGTAGTGCTGGCTTTATTGTATATGAAGTTCTCATCCTATGGGGATCTGTCTGGACTCACTGGAATAGTCACTGGTTCATTTATCTGTGGTTGCACCAATAGCATGTTACATTTATTACTGTATTTTGTAGACTATCTTATCTGACAGAGCAAGTTCCCCTCTACAGTTTTTAAAGGTTGACTTAACTATTTGTGGATCGTTTTTTTTTTTCCCAAAATGATTAAAAATTCTTTTGTGGCTTCCTTGAATATTTAGGTTAATTTAGAGAGTAGTGACTTCTTACAGCATTGAGACACATCATCCAAGAGCCTGGAATGCCCCTCTCTTTATCAGATTATTTTCTATGTTACTATGTTCTATGCTTTGAAGTTTTGTCCATAGAGGTCCTGTATTTTCTTTTAAAGGAATTCCTAGGCACTTTATTATTTTTGTTGCTATTGTGAATGTTATCCTCTTAAACTTGATTTCTGTTTGGCTACTGTTAGTGTAGAGAACCAAATCTCTCATAAGTAGATGTTCACATCATCTGCAAATTATGACAGCTTTATGTCTTATCTTCTAATGCTTATGTTATTTTTTTTTCTTCCTTTGTATCTTTGCCAGAACTTCCAATAGTAGGTTAAATATTAGCAGTGTTAGTGGGGCTTTTTGTCTAGTTCCCATCTTAAAGGGAATGCATTAAATGTTTTTTTTTAAATAATTACAAGGTTTACTGTGGGTTTTGGAATATATCTTTTACTAAGTTAAAGATAGTTCTATTTTATTCCTAATTTGCTGTCTTTTGTGAAAAATAGAGCTTGCCTTTTATCAAATGCCTTTCCTAGCCTCAATTGTGAAAATTATATAATTTTGTCTCTTTAGTCTATTAACGTCACAAATTACAGTTGATAGATGAAATTCAATTTATTTTATAATTATCAGACTTCACTGGATATGAAGAGAGAGAAATATGATGTCTAGAGCTGCTGTAGCTCAGGCAAAGACCTTGTCTAAGAATGAAGCCAACACACAGGAAAAAGCAGAACAAAACTAAGAGATGAAGAGACCAGGTCCTGGTAATGTAGTTGTCACGGTGGCATCAAGCCACAGGTGAACTAAGCACTGCCCTAAACATCCGCTGGGTAAGTCAATAAATTATCTGAAACCAGTTTCACGTTGCTTTTTGTGATATGTACTTGATTGGAAAACATTACTCACATAATTCAGGTCTGGTTTTTTTTAATTGCCTAACATTGTTTATGAAATTGCCAATTCTGCCTTTATGATTCGAATGACTCCTTTACTCTAACATCAATTTGAAAAAATTTATGAATCTCTTTCTTAATATAATCCATTTGTCTATTTTATCTAGTCCTTTACAAATGGTATTCTCATTTTTTAAAGTTGTGTTGCTTTTCGATTATATTTATTTTTGAACAGTTCAAAGTCAGAAAGTTTAGAACAGTATACATTAAAAACTCTCCTCCCAACTCCTGACTCTTAATCACGGTGTTTCCTATCCAGATCACCCAGTTGGATCAATTTTCTGAATAGCTGTATTTCTGAGAACTTTAAGTACACACAAAGCAGATATATCTTAACCCAAAAAGGTAGTATACTATAAAAATTCTGCACCTTGCTTTTTAAAATGGTGAATCTTACAGATTAGTCGACTTCATTATATAATGCACATTTTCATTATTTTTATAGCTGGATAGTATTCCATTGAATGAATATTGCCTCATTTGTTTTACCAGTCTTCTACTGACAGACACTGAAGTTACTTCTTTCTCTTTTTACTATTACAGATAGTTATGAAATGGAAGCCTTTTGCATATATCATGTTGAATGTGGGAGTGTGTAACTCTAGTATTAATTCTTTGTTGTGGAAGGACTGAGTCAGAAGGCATATATACACACACACACACACACACAGACACACATTTTTAATTTTTGGAAAAATAATGTGAAAATACCTTGGCTTAAAGTTATGCATTTCAGGTGGCAATCTGTTTAAAAATATCTGTTTTTCCATAGCCTATTATCAAAAATTTTTGTACTGATGAGTGAAAAGTCTTATTCACTATTTTAAAATCAGCTTTGTTGAGATACAATTTACATATGACAAAATGCAGCCCATTTTAAATGTACACTTCAGTGTGCTTTGACAAATTTATATGCCTGTGTAACTGCCTCCACAATTAAGATAAAAACATTTCCATCACCACAGATAGTCCCTTGAGCTCCACCCAAGTGATCCCCACGCCCATCCTTAGTACCCGGAGGCCGCCGATCTGCTTGTGTTGCTGTGTATCAGATGCAGTGCTTGTCAAGTTTCTCATCCATGGAATTGTACACCGTGTGCTCTTTGTTCCCAGATTCGATCATGTTTTTGTATCAGTGGTCTGTTATATTTTATTGCTTCTCAGTATTCCATTGTAAAAATACAATTTATCAGTATACCTATGAATGAATATTGGAGTTATTTTAGTTTTTGACATTTGAATAAAATTACTATGAACATTGGTGTACAAATTTTTATATGTCTGTATCTTCTCCATACTTTAGGGTAAATACTTAAAAGGGGAATCTCTGGGTCAAACTTTATAAGAGATTGCTGGCTAGAGCAAACTGTCTCTCCAATTTTGCATCCTTGTCACTAGTGAGAATTCTAGTTGCTCTGCATTCTTTCTAGCACTTGGTATTATCATTTACATTTTTGCCATTTTAGTGAGTCTATAATGCTATCTTATTAGAGTTTTAATTTGTGTTTCTCTGGTGATGAAGGATGTTGAGCATCTTTACTCATTGGCCATTCTGACGTCTGTTCTGAATTTCCAATCCTTTGCTCACTGAAACAAATTTAATTGTTACAGGGCTGTAGGAGTTTATATCTGCACCTGTATCTGTATCTGTTGTGCATCGTATTTATCGTCATCAGTCATCTATCTGTGTGGTTTGGATAGAAGCCTTTTGTCAGATAAATGTACAGCTTTTTGCCACTATGGTTCACCTCATTTTTTAAACCATATCTTTTGAAGAGAAGTTTTTCATTTTGATAAAGATCAATTTATCAGTTTTTTAAAGTGTTTTTATTTGCTTTAGTTGAGGAATCTTGGCCAAAATAATGACGATTTTACCCTGTTTCCTTCTGGGGGTTTTATACTATTGGCTTTTATGTTCATGAACAATGAATCTTTTTTGAATTATTTTTTTGAATGTGGAGGGAGGTAAGGTTCATCAATATCAAGTTCATTTTCTTTCATGTGAATATGAAATTTTTCCAGGCCCATTAATTGAAACCATTATCTATTACCCACAAATTACCTTTTCATCTTTAAACAAAATTAATTGACCTTATATCTTTAGATATATGTATGGACAGTCAATTCAATTCTATTGGTTTATATATCTATCTTTACGCCAATATTGTGCCGTCTTGATTGTTGTAGAGGGAATATTGAAATAAGGTGTTGGAACTCCTCCAAATATTTTCTGCTATTTCAAAATTGTTTCACCTATGTAGATTCTTTGGATTCCAGTATAAATTTTAGCAGTATCTTGTCAATTTGTATTTTAAAAAAGCTTGCTGGGATTTTGGTCAAGATTGTGTTAAATCTCTTGGTCAATTTGGGGAGACTTGACATTTTAAAATACTGAGTCTTCCAATCTTTGAATATGATGTACCTCTTCATTTATTTCCTTCTCTTCTCAGCCATGTTTTACAGTTGTGATTATGTAGATCTTGCAAATATTGTTACCCAGAAGGTATTTGTGTTTTCTGATAATGTGTAAATGGTATTTTTTAAATTTTAATTTCCAATTTTTTATCAGTAATGCAGAAATGCAATGCATTTTGTATGTTAGGCCTAGTATACTGTGACCTTACAAAAATAAAGAGATTTCTACACCTTCCTTTCCAATCTATATGCCTCTTCTTTGCCTTCTTGCATATTGCACTAAATAGGCCTTCTTTGTTCCTAATATTAAGGGGGAGAATCCAATGTTTCACTATTAATTGGGAGGTTAGAGAAAGATTTTACATAGAACCCCATGTCCAGTTGAAGAGGCTCCATCTTTTCCCTCTCTTTTTCCCAAGAGCTCATCATCAGTGGACGCCAAATTTTGTTCAATGATTTTCTACATCTATTGAGAAGGTCCTATGTATTTTCTCCTTACTCTGTTAAAATGGTGACTTATGATTGATGTTTAAATACTAAACCAATCTTGGGATTAAACACTATTTCTGGGATAAATTCTACTTGGTCAAGATTTCTTGTACTTTATAAGTATTGCTGAATATAACTGCTAATTTTTCTTTTTTTCCTTGTTGTCCATGTAATACATCGGTAAGCTATTCTTTTTCCCTTTCTCTGTCCCTTGTTGTGTTTAGTTTTGGTATCAGGGCAGTGCGTCCCCTGTTTTCTGAAAGAGTTAGGATTTAGTATTCTTTATTTCTTAAAGATCTGGTATTCACCAGGGAGACCATCTGGGTTGAGAGTTCTTTT